ATTAAAGTTAATAAAGGTAAAGTTAGCCGACGTTTTTAATTTTTTGATTTTTTTTTAATAATTAAATTAGAACAAAAAAATATTTTTTAAAAATTTCACTTGCAGTTTTTAAAGTTTTTTACAAATTAAATTTTTTTTTAATTTTTTTGTACCTAATCATTTTCGTAATAAAAAAAAAATTCTAAAAATTTTTAGACGTCGGCTAACTTAATTTTCATTAAAGTTAGCTGTCACCTGACCAATTTTTGATTTTATTTAAAGATAAAATTAATTATAAAAAATTATTTAAAAAAAATTGCACTTTTTATTTTTTTTAATTTCTAGATGTCAATTTTTTTTTCTTATTTTTTTTTTTGCCATAATTTGTTAACAAAAATTCTAAAAATTATCAAATATCAGCTAAATTAATTTTCATCATAAAAATTACAAAAAAAAAAAATGCTTTTAATTTTTTTTAATTTTCACACGTGGAATTTTTTATTAAATTTTTTTCATAATAATTTAATTTTTATAAAATTATAAAAATAATTTTTAATACCTGTAATAAACTTTAGTCATGATAAAAGGGCTTGTTTATAAATGTCCCCAGTTCCTGTTTCGTGAGTATTGAGTATAGACAATTACGGTAAATACACACTCGGTGGGTCTGGCTTGAGAACGGAACTTGGCGCCAACTTCTACCGAGTTTGTTGATTAAAAAAAGTGTTTGTTGTTAAAATAAAACTATAGAACGTGTACAAAAATGGCGGGAACTGATTATCAAGCGCCATCTGTAAAAAAATTCCCTAGAAATAGAAAGTAATGATTGGCTAAAATTTACAATGTTGGCAGTAAAAATCTAGGGGACTTAAATGAAAAAGCAGCCATCGATAAGCATTTTATGATTATGGTGGCGTCACTCGACTAATGGGAAAAACGGCTGGACGAGTATCGACCGAGTAATAATTCATTTATATTCTGTGTTGCTGAGGATTTTAACGTAAACCAACAATTATTTAATCAATCAATTAGGTAAGCTTTTTATAATTAAGCTATTTAGCACGTTAAATAATTTAATAAGCCGAGCAATTGGATAGAAACTACAAGACGCATACGCTGCTCAATCGTAGCCATTTTGCTATCCGTTGATAAATGCATGCCATTCCCGTACCGACTGGTGAACTGAGCTTCAAAACAAATTTCATTTCAAATAAATTTTTTTATTTATTATTTATAATATAAACAACACAATTGATTAGTTTAATATTTTTAGCAATTAGTTTATCGAGTGTTAAGATGAGTATGATACTGTGATTACGCATCAGGCATCCTCCATGCTCCCTACTGGCCATTCGTTCTAATACTTTTAGTACTCCTATTGTCACATTTTAACCTTTTAAAATTACTGGAGTAAATTATAAATATTTACTTCTATAATTTGTTTATTTATAAAATTTTTAATATTTATTATAATTAATAATTTAATAAATTAAATATGATTGAGTTTTACTGAAACTCTTGAAAATAATTCTTGTGTTAGTTTATTTTATAAATAATAAATATTAAATGAAATTTGCTAGTAAGCTTTATTATCAATAATTAATTTTTATAAATATTTTATTTTTAATTACAATAATTATTATTCAGTATAATTTTTATTATAAAAATTATTTTAAGAATTTTTTTTAATATTAATTAATTTAGCAGATATTTAATCATTTGAAAAATTTTTATAACAAACAAATTATGGCAAAAGAAAATTAACATGTGGAAATTTTAATAAATTAAAATTGCAATTTTTTAAAAATAACTTTTTGGAACAAATTTTTTTGCTAAAGAAAATTAAAAAATTTATTAAATTTTTAAAATTTATTATAATTAATAAATTAAGTAAATATTGAGTTTTTCTGAAACTCTTGAAAATAATCCTTGTGTTAGTTTATTTTATAAAAAATTTATAAAGAATAAATATAAATATTAAATGAAATTTGCTAGTAAGTTTTATCAATAATTAATTCTTACAACAAATAAATTATGGCAAAAGAAAATTAACATGTGGAAATTTTAATAAATTAAAATTGCAATTTTTTAAAAATAATTTCTTGGAACAAATTTTTTTGTTAAAGAAAATTAAAAAATTTATTAAATTTTTAATATTTATTATAATTAATAAATTATTATTTAGTTTTACTGAAATTCTAGACAATAATCCTTGTGTTAGTTTATTTTATTAAAAATTTATTAAGAATAAATATTAAATGAAATTTGCTAGCAAGTTTTATTAATAATTCATTTTTATAAATATTTTATTTTTAATTGCTACTTAATTTTTTATAATAAAAATTAATTTAGCAGATTATTATCAAATTTTACTTATTTTTGTAACAAATAAATTATGGCGAAAAAAAAATTGACATTTAGAAATTTAAAAAAATTAAAAATTTTTATATAATTTTATTATAAATAATTTTTTGGAGTACTTAAATTTGTTTGTTAAAAAAAAATTTAAAAAATCGTCAAGTAACTGCTAACTTTAATGAAAATTAATTTATTAAATTTTAATAATTTTTATAACAAATAAATTATGGCCAAAAAAAATTGAGATTCAAAAATTTAAACAAATTAACAATGCAATTTTTTAAAACTTATTTTTCAGAATGAATTTGTTAAAAAAAAAAAAAAAAAAATGAATTGTTAACTTGAATGTTAATTTTTCTAACAAATAAATTGTGGGGAAAAAAATTGACATTTAAAAATTTTAGAAAATAAAAAATGCAATTTTATTGAAAATAATTTTTTTGGAATAAATTTGTTTGTTAGAAAAAAATTAAAAAATGGTCAAATATCTGCAAACTTTAATGAAAATTGATTAAACAGATATTTATTAAATTTTAATAATTTTTGTAACAAATAGATTATGGCAAAAAAACTTTTTTTAAATTGACATTCAGAAATAAAAAAAATTGAAAAATTATCAAGTGATTGCTAACTTCAATGTCATATTTTTCTAACAAATAAATTATAGAAGAAAAAATAACATTTAGAAATAAAAAAAAATAAAAAATGCAATTTTATTAAAAGTAATTTTTTGGAACAAATTTGTTTGTTAAAAAAAATTATAAAATAGTTGAGTAATTGTTGAGTTTAATTTAATATTTTTATTTCATCATGGTAATAGGGTAGTTAAGGATGGAAGGCAATGGTGGATCGTACTATTATTCTCACAATTGAAATATGCCCACCACTGTCTTTAGACCATTGTAACAAAAATTTGCATCATTCCACAGACCGCCGTGAGCACAGCTAAGTTTTTTTTTTTTTTTTCAAGCATATTGAGTTTACACACCACCGTAGACTTGACGTCTTTTATTCAAGTTTCTAAGTGATTTTTTTTACAGAAAAAAAAAACTCTTCTTTGTTAATAGTTGAAAACTATTTTTGTTACCACTTTTTGAACTTGGAGTTTTTTTTCAACTCAAGAATTCATCTTTGTGTCATTTAAAATTAAAAATAAAAAAAAAAATCTATTTTATAAAATAAAAAATAGATAAATTTATAAAAAATGCCTGTTTTTCATACCAAAACTATTGAAAGCATCCTCGAGCCCGTAGCGCAGCAGGTAAATAATTTTTTCTACTGTATTTAAAGCTTCAATTATAACAATTGCTTTATTTTTAATTTTCTCACCACAGAGTAATTTTGTAATTTTTTTTTATATATATATTTATAAATAATATTTGCATAAAAATACAATATTGCATGTTTGTTATTATTACGAAATTTGTGGTGACAAGGTTGAAAAATGTTTGTATTTTTTTTAGTACCCACACAATTCCTGTCATTTCAAAATACACACACCTTTTTATAGTAATTTTGAATTATTGGAGCTTTAATTCTTTAGTTGATAATATCATGAGAATGATTAGTTTGAAGCTAAAAAAAAATCTTAGAAAAAATCAAGCATTCTATTAATTTTCATTCATGAACAATTCTATTGAAATAGCAATTATTTAATCGTTTACCATTTATGAGCATTGACATTGTGATTCACGATGATGTCAATGCTTTCCAATTATTAACATATATTTTTTATGTCTAAAAAAAAAATACATCTTTTATTTTCTGGTTCAAAATATGACCTAATAATTTAATCCTAAGTTTCATAATTTTATACTCCAGGAGGGTAGCATTGAAAAAAAAAAAAAAAAAAATAAAAAAAAATAAAAATATTTTAATATAAAAATATTAACATTGTGTGATAAAACCTTCAAAGTTTTTACCGTCGAAGTAACTTCTCCCCAGATGAACTTTTATTTGGATCATTATTATTTTTAGAATACGTCATAACTTTTGGTCTCAACGTACGTTAGCCAATTGCTAGGCGTTGTTCATGGTACCATCGTTACCGTAATTTAATTTTTACTTACATTAAAATATTAATTCAATTAAATCCAAGTTTAATAACTTGCTCTAAATTTAAATCCACTGATAAAAATACCGAGATAATATTAAAATATTTTATCACTAAAATATTTTAATTATTTTTCTGTCAATAAGCTGACTACATTAAAAATTATGACTAAGTTTCTATTCCTAAAATATGTTTTTGCGAGTCATAACAACTTCCGCAATTTCACTAGACCACAATTATTTTTTTTTTTTTTTCAAATAAATAATTTTTTTTTAATGCTACCCACATATTTAATAATTTATTCGTATGGTTGTAGATCATAAATTTCCTTCAAGGTCACTTGAGTAATTGAGAGTTCAATAAGAGCTAAACATAAAATCGATTCCCCTATCTGTACGCTGATATATTTTTGTTAATAATTTAAACTGGATATATTTTTAAAATAGATTCAAACTTATAATTTACAATTTTTAAATTTTAATTGAAAAAATTCTTAATTTTTTTTATCTCTTTCAAAAGAATTAAAATTTTTTATGGTTGTATTTTATTTTTTAAAAAACTACTCATAATTATAAACTATTGAAATAAATAAAAAAAAATTTTTATTTAGGTTTCAAGACTTGTTATTCTTCATGAAGAAGCTGAAGATGGAAATGCGATGCCAGATTTGGAGCGGCCTGTGTACGCCGTCAGCATGGCAGTTACGAATCTCGTAAAAGTATGTTTGTTTAATTAAATAATTATTTTCTCTGATAAAATTTTAATCAATAAAAAAAATGATATGAAATTTTTAAATAGGTCGGAAAAGAAACAATTAATTCTTCGGATGATGCGCTGCTTAAACAAGACATGCCGGCTGCGCTCCAACGTGTTGAAGGTGCTTCAAGACTTCTTGAAGAAGCTTCTGCATTGCTGAAGCATGATCCGTACTCTGGACCTGCCAGGTAATTGTAATAATAATTAATTATATTTTACGGGATCTAAATTTAATTTAATTTAATTGATTATTAAATTATTTCAGAAAAAAACTGATTGAAGGCTCTCGAGGTATTCTTCAAGGCACCAGTTCTCTGCTTCTGTGTTTTGATGAAAGCGAAGTCAGAAAAATAATCAGAGAATGTAAAAGAGTGTTAGATTACTTGGCTGTAACAGAAGTTATTGAAACAATGGAGGATTTAGTACATTTCTTAAAAAATCTCAGCCCGTGTTTGAGTAAAGTCTCACGTGAAGTGGGTGCAAGAGAAAAAGAATTGACTCATCAAGTTCATCGTGAAATTTTAATTCGTTGTTTGGATCAAGTCAAAACTTTGGCGCCTATTTTAATTTGTTCGATGAAAATATTTATTCATATTATATCTCAGGGAGGCAGAGGTGCTGAAGAAGCTGCAGAAAATCGCAATTATCTTTCCAGTCGCATGTCTGATGAATTAAATGAAATTATTCGTGTGCTTCAATTAACAACTTATGACGAAGAAGAGTGGGATGCTGATCAATTGACGGTAAATTTTTAGTCAATAAATTTTATTATAAGCATTATTTTATTTTATTTAAATATTTTTAAATAAAAATAATTATTAAATTTTTTAATTAATTAAATTAAATTTTTATTTTTATTATAATGTTTTAGGTATTGAAAAAAGCTCAAAGTGCAATAGAATCCCGAGTAAGAACCGCCCATGATTGGCTAGATGACGGTCGAGCAATGCAAGGTGGAGTTGGTGAAAAAAGTTTGCGCCAAATAATCGAACAAGCAAATAAACTCGCCGATCGGTATTTGTCACCCTCACAATCTGAAGCTATGTCAAAAATTACATCGCAATTAGCAACAATGACTAATGCACTCTGTGAATTACGTCAGGACGGAAAAGGAACGTCTGTACAAGCAGAATCTCTTGCTCGAGGAATCAAAGAGAAGCTCAATGATCTCCGTTCTTCGGTAGCTTCAGCAATTGTTGCTGTTGACAAATCAGGAACAGCCCAAACAGCTCACACTGTCGCTGGTCGACTAGAGCAAGCCAATAAATGGCTGTTGAACCCTCAACATGATGACAAAGGGCTCGGACAGCGTGCCATAGCTATGATTATTCACGAAGGAAAAAAAGTAAGTGCAATTGTATTTTTTATATTGAAAAATTTTTACGTTTTATAAAATGCTACTCATTTGTGCTGCAAATGGATAGAATCAGCAAAGTTTGCCTTACGTAAGTTTGTTATTGTGTAGAAGAATCTATAAAAATGTAACTATTAAAATTAATTATTTATATTAGACATATCGTGTTACAGATGCCATAAGGGCGTATAATAAAAATCCTATTTTTTTTTTTTTAGTCTAAAAAAATTTTTTATACGCCCTCATAGCTTTTCACCGGTATCTTTTGCCGGTATACGCACTTATGGCATTTGGAACGCGTTAAATTTATTTATAAAATTACAATTAGTAGCATTTAATTTCTTCCAGGTTGCTGAAGGCCTTCCAGGTATTCATAAAGCAGAAATTCTTCAACTTTGCGATGAAGTTGAAAACTTATCACGTCAGTTGGCAGATATGTGTGCTTATGGTCAAGGAAATACGCCACGAGCGCAAGAAATCGCCCGACAATTGTCACAAAAGCTTTATGAGCTGAAAAATCGTATTCAACAAGCAGTAGTGTCGCGAGTGGTTGAAGATTTTATTGACATTACAACACCACTCAAACAATTTACCGACGCGGTTTTAACTCCCGAAGGCACTCCAGGACGTGAGCAAAATTTCAACGACAAAACTCACGCGCTTCAGATCTTTTCAAATCGAGCTGTTAAAACAGCGCGTATGGTAGCTGCTGGTGGCAGCAGTGGCAATAAAAAATTAGCTGAAGCTCTGTTAAACAGCGCTTCTCAGGTCGAATCGTTGACCCCGCAATTGGTCAATGCTGGACGCATCAGAATGAGCTACCCGGAAAGCAAAGCTGCTGATGAGCACTTTGAAAATTTGCGTCAGCAGTATGCTGAGACGATGCAGCGCACAAGAGCCCTTTGTGATGAAGCCACTGATAGCGCTGATTTTATTCGCACGTCGGAGGAACAAATGCAGAAACATACTTTCCTTTGTGAAGAAGCCATTGCTAAGCAACATCCACAAAAAATGGTTGATAATACCGCTGCTATCGCTCGCTTAGCCAATCGGGTTATTCTTGTCGCTAAGCAAGAGAGCGACAATAGTGAAGATCTTTCGTTTATTCAACGGGTTAATCAAACTGCTGATGTTCTTCAGCACTGTGTTACTCCCATGGTCCAGGATGCTAAAGCCGTCGCTATGAATATCACTGATGGGCCGTCTATTTCACATTGGAGGGAAAGCAATCGCGCTGTAAATATTATTATTATTTTTGGTAATTATTTACAAGGGTCCAATCCCATTTTGGGCAATAACTAAGTGAGAAATTAACATTTTATAATTTTTTTTTTATTCTGCTTGTTTTTACGGCGCATTTATGATAAAAAAATGTCGTGAAAAAAAAAAAATAAAGATTTCGGTAGATTTTTTGCCTTCAAAAGTTGGAAAAAATTTTGGCTCTCATGTTTTTGGATAAAATTTCTATTTTATCTTTTTTTGAAAATTACATAAAAAAACCAACAATTAAAAAAAAAAAAAGTTGAATATCACAATTTTCTAAAAAATTTATAAATTTTTTAGAAAATTGTGATTTTTTTTTAACTATTCATTTTTTTATGTATTTAAAAAAAATATATCAATAAAATCAAATAAAATTTTCGTTCAAAAAAATGAAAATTAAAATGGCCCCACTTGTAAATATTTACCTTTTTTTTTTTTTTATAATTTAATAATTGTTTTTATTCTTAGCTTTTAAATAGCGTGGGTCAAGTTCGCAAAGCTTTGTATCCTGATCAAAGAACTTCTCCGGATATTTCGCAACTGCACATTAGCGACGGTATGTTTAATATATCTATTATTTTTATTTTTATTTAAAACTACTAAGAAGTAATAATAATACTATTGTTATTTATAACTCTATAGTAAAACAATTTAAATAATTATAAAATTATTTCAGTGGATAAAGTGCCCATACCTCGGCACACTTACTTTACAGATAAAGGTATAATTAATTTTCAAGAATATAAAATAATTGTGTTTTTTTACGGAAAATTTTTGATTTTTTTTTAGTTTGTTAATCATTCACTTCAACTGAGAAAATTTTTTAGTGTACTTTTAAATACCTAAATTTAATGTTTTGATATTCGTAAAAATCATGTCATTCACTCATTGTCATAATAATTAATCTCTATTTGTTTTTTTATATTTATAATCAGTATTTTAATTATAATTAGTCAATCGATGCAGTAAATTTTTATTGCTTAATTTTTTGATGGAATTTTGTTAACTATCTATCAGTCGGTGAACCTTTGAAGAATCAGCCGTCACCCAGCCACTTGAGCGCGGTCAGCCCGACATTTAATTCTGACAAACCGCAGCATCGTTCCATCAGTCCGTTGCCTAAATGGGCACGTGGAGGTATTAGAATAGAAAATAAACCCCTATAAATTTATTAAATTCGCTAAAAAAATCGTAGCGACGTAAAAAAAAAGACGGAATATTTTTTTTTCTCGAAACATTAACTATAATTTCTTATCAGGAGATAATCCAGATCTGCTATACCAGGAACTAGCCTCTGACAACAACTTTGAGAAAACGGTTCAACCCGGAGGTAATTCAACTCAATAACGAAAGTTAAAAAAAGCCGCCTCAATTATTTCTAAGAAATATTTTTTTTTAAAGCTTCGCGGATTGCTCGTCAATATAATTTTTTTAATTCACCCAATTTCATCTCATTCATTTTTTATCAACGCATGTTATAGTTTTTCCCTTTAAAAAAGTTTTGACTGATTTAAAAAAAAATTAAAATTGTTTTTTTAAATGCTGCATGTATTGTCAAGGATGTTACGATAATTACATTGAGGATAAATATGGTAAGATAAAATAACTTGTTTGAATTTTCAGAGCAAGCTGCATCTTGGTGTTTATGAGTGTTATGCATGATTAAATTTTATCAACCAATTAGAATTTTACTAATTAAAAAAAAATTTGTTTGTTTTTAAGAAATGGCACCACCGAGACCTCCTTTGCCAGGGGGAGAGATAGCCCCTCCAAGACCACCACCACCAGAGACTGATGATGAAGATGAAATGTTTATGCATGCTCCTCAACCTAATCAACCGATTATGGTATTTTTTTAATAAATAAAATTTTTAATTATATTTTATACTTATCCAGAAGTTTATTAAAAATTAATTAATTAATTTCAGATGGCAGCTCATGGTCTTCATCAAGAAGTTCGTCAGTGGTCTAGCAAAGACAATGATATTATTGCTGCTGCTAAAAAAATGGCTATTTTGATGGCTCGTCTTTCTGGTTTAGTTCGAGGCGAAGGCGGTAATAAACGTGATTTGATTGCTTGTGCTAAAGCTATTGCTGAAGCATCACAGGAAGTTACACGTTTAGCTAAAGAATTGGCTCGAGAATGCACTGATAAGCGTATTCGCACGGTACTTTATTATTTAATCTTTTAAAATTTTTTTATGTTTATTAAATATTTTTTAAAAAATTTTTTATGTTTATAAAATATTAAAAAAAAAAGTTTTTTTTTTTTTTTTTTTTTCTAGAACTTGCTTCAAGTATGTGAAAGAATTCCGACAATAGGAACTCAATTGAAGATTCTATCGACTGTAAAAGCAACAATGCTTGGTGCTCAAGGTAAATTATTTATTTATTTGAATAAATAATTTTTAATTGAAAAAATAATGCCTTATCTAATAAATTAAATTATGTAAATTATCTATTTGAATATTAATATATTCCGCGGCTTCTAATTCGTGATCATTATTAAATTTAGCTTAATTGTGAATGAAAAAAAAATATAACAAATGATTAATTTAAAATATTAACATTTTAACAAGTAACGGATGAATTTTATTCATGTTAACTTAACTCTATTATTTTCATAATAAATAAACATTGTTTTTTTGTGCATAGAAACGCTCCCCACCTGGGAAGAACTGATGCTATATGGTAAAAAAGCTGTATATAACGCGTGTTTGCATTCATTTCATATATGCGTGTACATGTTTATTTTTTAATGCATGCTCTGAATAAAAACAAATTATTCCAACTGCATGAATTTATTTATTAAATTAAGAAATTGCGTTTAATATTAAGTATAATATAGATATTCTTAAATTGATCTGTTTTAAATAATGAAGCTATTCATTTTTATGCAACAATATTTATTGTTAAATTTATATTTTTAAATATACTATATTATTTTGTCTATTATTCGGTCTCATTGTTTTGCATGCCTGTATTTTTACAGGTGGATTGATTGGAATCAGTAAGTCTTGAAATAATTAACTGATTCACTATTTTTATAATTTTTATAAATTGTAGTTATTTTTATAAATTTTTGCTTTGCTAGTACTTTTTTATTTAAAGCTAAAAAATAATTAGTTAACTTAAATAAAAAAATTATTTAGGAAAATTTTAATAATATATTTATAGAAAAAAAATTTAAAAAAAAATTTTTTTTTTTTTCATTATTTTACTAATAAATAATTAATTATCTAGGTACGGAAGAGGATCAAGAAGCAACTGATATGCTTGTCGGAAACGCTCAAAATCTTATGCAGAGCGTAAAGGAGACAGTGAGAGCTGCCGAGTGTGCAAGTATAAAGATCCGTACGGCCTCGGGAATGAAACTCCGTTGGGTTCGTCGTCAGCCTTGGTACCAATATTAGAATATATGATTTAGTTTTATATCTAATTTAAACTAAGAAATACCCTTGATTTGTTTTGTTGAACTAATTACTAATTATATAAAAATTTTACTGCCACGTAAAATACTTATTAATTATAAATTAATTATTTTTTTTTTCTGAAGTTTAACAAAAAATTTCTAATATAGTTTTACAATTATTTAATTTAGTTTAATTATTTTTTTTCGGATGTCAGGGTCCATAACATTATTGTTATTAATACTAATTATTCAGTACAATTATGCTTTTAATTATACTTACTTTTGATTAATGGCATCATCTAGTATTAAAATGCAATGAGGTCATTTTATTGTTACTGCTAATTATATGGTCGTTTTTATGAGCATACTCTTGGATTTAAAATTTTTATAATTAAAATGTGACACATGGGTCAATCTGTGAGTTAATTCTCAAAAAAAATTTTTTTAATATTTAATGAAGATATATCTAAACCCTATTTACAGGCTTGGATTAAATTTTGAAGGTACTGAATTAATAAAAAATTGAATTTAAAATTTTATTTTCTAAGTTTTTAAATAATATTTTTGTGCAATCTTTCAATATTTTATAATTATTATATCATATTTTTTGTATGATAATAAAAAGTATTGGCCTTAATAATAAATTATTAAAATTTTTCTAAGGCTCAGTGCAATAATAACATTAGCGATAATTGTAGAATTAAAAAAAAAAAAAAAACTTTTTCTGACGTTTTTAAAATTTTAATGGTGCTAAAAAATCTTTTAATATTAAAAATAAGAGTGAATAGAATTAAAATTTAGAATATACCTGTTTATTTACAAAACAAATATAATTGTTGTAATAGTTAGTGTGTTAACTATTTTAATTTTTAAAGACACTGAAGTTAACTAACAATAGAAATTTTTTTATAATTTTATAGCAATTAAATTGTTATGGAAGAAATTTAATAAATAAATTCCAAATTAAAAAAATTGACAGCTGTCTGCTAACTTCAGTATCATTAATTTTTAATGTATTGTTATTTACATTTAAAAAAAAAATATAACAAACCATTTCGTAACAGTTTTAATAAATAATTTTTGTGAATTATAATTGTATTATTTTATTTCAAACATAAAACCTGCAATTAGAATATTTAAAAAATAAAATGACAGATTTTTTTCTTTATCAACGTAAGGTACGACATTATACACTGCACCGCACATAAGTATAGAGTAGATCTCTGATTAATAAGCGCACTATGTGGTGTATTTTGTCTATTTATTATCAGTAAGAAGATTATTATTATTTCAATTATTGTGATAATTATTATAAAATATCAAATTATGTAAAGCTACGCCTCGCTATTTTTTTAATTATATTGACTAATCAATTTAAAATAAATTAAATTTAATAGGAAATGATAAAAATAAATTAATAAATTGACACAATGGCTGAAAATGTCCCAATTCTAGAAGGATTTTTATGTCCAGTATGTATGACAGATTTTAAAAAACCATGTCAATTAACAAAACATTTTGAAGAAGATCACAATGATGATCCGGAAATATTAAAATCGCTCAAAGGTAATTTTTATCTTTTAAATCAATGAAGGTAATAAATTTTAAAAGGTTATGAATGACAAAAGTCAAAAAAAAAATACTTGAATGATAAATTTATTATGATTTATTTTTGTACAGATCTTTTTGGAAAAGCCAAGAAGAAAATTCTTAAACAAGATGAAATACCCAACACTTTTTCTCAAAATCTCCCAATTCGAGAAAAACAGCAGAGTCCTGAGATTAATTGGGGTCCACAAGATATTGGAGCTACTAAATCTTACACAGTTTACTTTCGGGATATTAGGAATGCCAAACTAGAAAGATACTCTACGGAAACAAACAAACTACTTATAAGATTAGACAAATTGTTGTTAAATTTGCCGTCAGATCCAGTTGACCGAAAAGGTATTTACAATTAAAAAAATGCTTCAAATAATAAATTAGATTTGTGAGTTAGTAATTTAAATTTAACTTTATTGTTTTAGATTTTTCAGTTAATTGGCTATCTCCAGTCTAATACAAAAATTTTTATGAAAATGAAGTTGGCCGACATTTTAAAATTTTTCATTAAATAAATTTCAATTAAACAATTGAAAAAAAAAAAATTGTCACATGTAAAAAACTTGAAAAACTACAAGTGCAATTTTTTAGAAATATTTTTTAAATTGTAATTTAATTAATAAAAAAAAATCAAAAATTTTTAGACGTTTGCTAACTTCAGTGACATCAATTTTTTCTCTAATTTTTTCGTAATATTGTTAGCCTGTATTTCCTTTCAGGAATAAACAATTTAGCCACAATTCATATCTAAATTTGTCATTAAAGATAAATTTAACTAAAAAAAATAATTCGGATGGCCCAGACCAGGACGAAATAATTACGAAAAAATTGATAATACTAAAGTTAGCCGACGATTGTAATTTTTTGATTTTTTTTTAGTAATTAAATTAGAACAAAAAAATATTTTCCAAAAATTGCACTTACAATTTTTAAAGTTTTTTAAAAGTGACAATTTTTTTTTTTTATTTTTTTGTATTCATTTTTTCAATAAAAAAAAATTCTAAAAATGTTTAAATGTCGGCTAACTTACTTTTCATGAAAATTGTTGTATTAATCTGGATAGCCAATTAACTGAAAAATCTAAAAGTATTATAAACCAAGTCTTTAGGAGAAATAAATATTAATTTATTGTTTTAGCTCATGAACGGAATATTGTACATTGGATTGACGACAAGGACGTTAAATTATGTCCAAACTGTGCACGTAGTTTTCATTTAGCTAGACGAAAACATCACTGCCGTTTATGTGGTGCTGTAATGTGTCATGATTGTACTGAATTTCTATCTCTTATTGATGCTCGTAAGTTATTTAAAATTTATTCATTTAAATTAATTTGAATTCTTTGAAATTATAGCAAAGCAAATTGATTTAAAAAATTTCATCTTTAGAAGCTGTAAAAAAATATAAATAATTTTTTAAAAATAATTTTCTAGATCTATTTTAGTTTTAAAGAAAAATAAAAAATCTGTCATTATTTTAATGATTTTACTCAATTAATTGTATTAGCGATAATAACTGTAAAATAAATTTCCAGGTAAAATGACCAGCCCAATATCAGTAGATGATTCAGCAGTGTCTCCAACTTCATCAGAGTCTCCATTGGCTGACAGAATAATCCGAGCTGGAATAGGACTTTCAAAACTAGCACGTTCTCCATCAAGTGGAAGTCTCAATAGTGTTTTATCACTGGTTAATGATCGAGCAGGTGGTGAACAGTATTTTCGATTATGTTTCCACTGTAAAAATCTTTTAGATGCTCGTGAAAAGTTGAAAATAAGACACCTTAGCAAACCAATTATTTCAAAATTCTATGAAACGATGAGAACTTATATGGAAGAAGCGATGCGCTTTATGACAATGTACAACAAAATGTGGGAATCACTGTCCAAAGGAGAAATGACGTATGATTTACGCGATGCACAAATATTGAGGATTAAAATTGCTAAAGTTGGAGAAAATGTTGATAATATAAGTAAAAAAATTCTTGCCATCGGGACGGCAGATATTGACAATCCTCCTCAAGGTCAAGCTCTGAAACTTCATCAGATGATTCGTGCCTCAGCTATGATATTTCTTAAGGAACAATTATTGACTATTCCTTCGCTTCCGTCAGAAGAAGAGTACCTTGCTTTGCAGGAAAGCCGTCGGCAAAAAATAGAAGAAAGGATTGCTTATGAACGGCAATTAGAAATTGAGGAAACTCTTAAAGAAAGACGCAGAGATTATAAACTGGATCATAAAAACTCACAAAATATTACACCAGTTAAAAATAATGAGGTAAAATTAATTAATTGATTTTTCTTTCGATTAATAAAAATAATTTAAATTAATTAAAATTATTTATTATAACTTGTAGGCTTTGATGGAGACATCCCAAGGCTGGACACCCTCTGGAGCTGTAGCTATACTTCCTTCGGCCTCGATTGACCCAATTATCGAACAAATGAGTAACTTACGATCGTATATAAAACAAGCTAAAGCAGAATGTAAATTTGATGAAGTAGCTACGTTAGAAAGTAATTTACGTGAACTTCAAAGCGCTTATTTTGCTATGAAACAAAGCAATGATGGCTAAAAATATATTTATTTTTAATTATGCATATTCAGGGCCAGTTTTTCAATCCGAGATAAAATTGTTATTGTCAGTATATCTATAAACATGAAATATATAGATATATTTTATAAGTGGATAAAATTTTATTCGTAGTAAATTCTCAATAAAGTTACCACTGTTTTAACTTTTCTTCAGTCACTTAGATTAAAAAAGAAAAAAATCTCTAACTTTATTAAGAATTTTATACTGTGATAATGTAACTGAAAAATTATTCACAGATAACTTAAAAAAAAAAAGAAATTTTTTATTCTGATTTTTAATTGCTTACAATGCTTTGATAAAGTAATAAAATTTATTGATATATATATAAAAAAATAAAATCTTACAATTTTAAAATTAAATTAGATTTTTTACAACTCTTAATTGGATTAATTAGTTACTAATTTTTTGTACAATACTCAATTTACTCCGCAAGTTTGTTAATTTAAATTTAAATTATTTTTCAACACAGTTTTATTATTACTATTGTTATTGTAAAATTTATTTATTTTTTTACCATATATCGATACTTCCATTCTAATACGACGTACCCCACATTTAAAAAAATTTTATGGACGGTAAAAACAGTTCATTTATAATTTTTAACATTGATCAAATGAGATTCAACGGAATGAATAAAATATTTATTTAAAAATAGTTATTAAGGAAGTACGAGCACCAAGGCAACTTTTGATAAAAGGCTTGATTTTTTTTTTTTTAATATGAAGTTTAATATGTCTAAACAAATTCCGAAAATTTGAAGGAGATTGCCCGATTATTTAAATAAATAATTAACTTTAAAGTTGAGCAATTTAACATTGGTCTTATGGGGTAACTTCTAAACATTGATACATTTCTGTATTTTTTTTCTCGTAAAACTGTCGGTGAATATTTTTAAAAAACTTATGAATAAAAGTTAATATATTTGTGATAAATTTAATTCAAAAAAATTTACACTTGCCCGACTAATTAACGTGTATTAATTAAAAGAAAAATAAATGCCGCCATTAGCCAATGTTAAATGTATATATCTATATATTAAGAAAAATCATATTATATGGTTACTGCTTCACAGCTTCCCCTTACCGCGTTAGAGTTGATACCTATCCTCACCCCGCCTAGCCTGGCGCTCGTACTTCCTTAAACTATTTGACTTTTAAATTTTTAATATAAACTTGCATAATATTGTTGTGATTTTATTTTTGTAGGATACGATGCATTAGAATGGCAGTATCGATATTCAAAATATTCTTTAAGTATTTAAGATAAAAGACCCAGTGAAATTGACACTTGAAATTTTATTCTAATTAAAAAAAATAAATCAACTCTAATGAATTAATAAATACAATTTTTGAATTATAAATTTTAAGATAATTGATTTTAATTTTAGGTCTTTTAATTTAATTAATTAATTTATTATTATTTTATCATATACCTACCCTCTGTACTCTAATATAGGCAATGGTAAATTCTGGTGCGACTCTTTTGAATAAGAATATTGAATCGACTCACAATTAGTGTCTTGTCCATTCATTTCTTTTAAAATTACAGGCAAATTATCACTTAAAAAAATAGAATTATGTGGATTAACAGCAGACTGACTTGAGCTTGATGATGGATAAGAAGATTCACATGTTGATAGATCAGAACTTTCCGAAATTATGGAATCAGATGATTTTTCTGACTTTATAATTCCTTTATTGCTTACATTACTCTGCTGCTGATTATTATTATGCATATTCAATTCTTTAAAGTTTGGTAAAACATTTTCTTCCTGTTCCTCTCCATACTTAATATCACAATTATTTTTTTCTTCAAAGGAACTTGAACTGAACTTCATTAAATCGGATTTACTATTGAACGGAAACTTTGATACATTTTCGGCATGAAATTTTTCTTCTTCATAAGCGAGCTGTAAGTTATCATTATTTATCGACGGCGCTGCATAATTTTCTTTTTGAACGTCCTGGTATTCATTTACTTCATCAGTAATGTGAATCATCTCGGGAGTTCCCTCGAAATTTACAAAAAAATCTATGGGCGCTGCTGGACCATTTTGGGGCCGTTTGGGTGGCTCTTCGTTCAGTACTCCAATAGCTAGATAATCAGCCGCTCTGAATAGTTCAATTTGAATTAACAAGTTTATTAATTTTCCTATCGTAGGTCTTTTACGTCCCATGGTCGACCATTCATCCAAAAAAATCTCAGCTGGTAGTCGACGTTGTTTTAGTCCCGTTGATTCAATAATACTGAAATTATTAATTATTTAATTAGCGTACTTAAAAAATATTTATTATATTAAAATATTAAATTATGAAAATTAAAAAAGCTGACTTTTAAAAACTTTTATAATTATTCTTATTGAAGAAAATATTACAATAAAATTAAAAGAAAAAATTCCACTTATAGAAGATTTGAAAAATTGTACCTGTAATTTTTTTTAAATATTTTTTTACTTTTGTAATTTAATTGTTGAAAAAATTCGTCAGCTAATTTTAGTATCATTATTGAAATTAAAAGACACTTAACAATTTGTTTTAAATAATAAACTAGGTTTAGAAAATGATTCATAAAAAATGAATACACACATGATTTTTTGAAGCTTTTAAAGATGGAATTTTTTTATGACAATAAAGTTAGCCGACATTTAAAAATTTTTAGATTTTTTTTATTGACAAAATTATTACAAAAAAATAAAAAAAAAAATTTTTCACTTGTAAAAAACTTTAAAAACTGTAAATGCATTTTTTTAAAAATATTTTTTTCTTCTAATATATCCTAATATAAAATTGAGATGAAATGTATGTGGCATCAAACTATTCGTAACGTGATTGGTCAAATATATCATAAGCATGAAAATATATGCAAACTCTATAGTCAAGGCGCGCGCTTGCGCGTGTAAATTCAAATTCTAGTCCTAATGTAAAATTGAGATGAAATGTATGTGGCATCAAACTATTCGTAACGTGATTGGTCAAATATATCATAAGTATGAAAATATATGCAAACTCTATAGTCAAGGCGCGCGCTTGCGCGCGTAAATTTGAATTCTAGTAATTATAAAAAACAAATTAAAACCGTCGGCTAACTTTAGCATCATAATTTTTTTAATTAATTTTTTTTTTGCTATAATTTATACCTTGAAAATTTGTTTAAATTGTTTGGTCTCTCAATTTCATAACATTAAAGTTAGCAATCATTTGACTATTTTTTAATTTTTTTTAACCAAGAAATTTCTTCCAAAAAATTGCATTTTTTTAAATTTGTACATGTTAATTTTTTTGCTCCAATTTATTTGTTAAAAAAATTATTAAAATGATCAAATATCTGCTAATTTAATTTTCATCTCGATTTTTTTATTATATAATAATAATAAATAATATTATAAAACAAGTGTTACTTACTCAAGGTGCTCCTTAGTAAACATTGGAACATTTTGAGTTCCATCTTTTGGAATCATTCCCATAAGTACTTTCCAAGAATCAGGACTCAAAGTTGCTGCCAGCGCGCAAAGTTCCTTTGGTCTTAATTTTCTAATTTCTGTCTCTGCATTTACCATTTTTCTTTTTAAAATACAGTAAAAATTTTTGATTAAAAAAAACAAAATATCTTTTATTTAGTTTTAGCAGCAACAGGTAATAGACTTAACCTATCACTGTAAAATTGTAACTTTTTAAATTATAGTTATTATAAATATTTTTTATGGCAATTTTTATTAAGCAACCTAGAAAATTTGCAATAAATCAAAATTAAATTGCAATGAAATTGTCAATTAATTATGGGAAATAATTTTCTGAGTAAATCACAGGTGTTTAGTGTGTCAATGCTGTTTACTATCACAAGTGTGTCTCTTTTGCTCTTGTTAGTGACTTGCAAAGTTGAGATATATTTAACAATTAAGTCCCCAGATGGCAGCACAGTACTTGTTATGTTTTGCAATTAATTTTATAAATTTTCAGTGTGTACAATCCTTTACGTAACATAGTCTGGTATAGCCTCAATTTTATGATGTACTTTTGACGTTTTAAAAATTTAATAATATCACATGTGATTTATTTTTATGTAAATAATAAATAATAAAAAAAAAATGAGTGGTCGTAATAATGAAGATGATGATGAAAATTTTGCAGTATTTGGAGAAGCATTGGAAGAACTTGAAGAAGGTATTTAAAATATATGACATTAAAGTTAGCCGTCACTTGACAATTTTTTAATTTTTTTTAACAAACAAATTTGTTCCAAAAAATTATTTAAAAAAAATCGCATTTTTAATTTTTTAAAATTTCTACATGTCAATTTTTTCTTCTAATTTTTTTTTGCTATAATTTATTTGTTAAAAAAATTTTCAAAATTAATAAATGTCTGCTAAGTTAATTTCCGTTTAAAATATATGACACTGAAGTTCACAAATATTAAATTAAAAATTTTTTTATAACTTTATAGAAATTAAAATGAAAATGAAGTTAGCTGACATTTCAAAATTTTTAGAAATTTTTTATTGAAAAAATTTCAATTAAAAAACTTTAAAAAAAATTTCACATGTAAAAAACTTGAAAAACTACAAGTGCAATTTTTTAGAAATATCTTTTTAGTTGTAATTTAATTAAAATAAAAAAATAAAAAATTTTTAGACGTCTGCTAACCTCAGTGTCATAAATTAAATTATTATGATGAAAAATTATTAATGAAAATTTTTAGAAGCATATTTTTTATTGTGATTGTTATAAAAAATTTAAAAAAATTTGACAGCTATCAGCTGACTTTAGTATTTATTAAAATATTCCATTATTTATTATTTATAATTTAAATAATAATTTTATTGTTTTTATTAAAGATACTCTGCGAAAAAAAAAACCTGTTACTGTAGAAGATCAATATGCACTGGATGATCAAGGCAGACGTAGGTTCCATGGAGCATTCACTGGAGGTTTTTCCGCCGGATACTTTAATAGTGTCGGCACTAGAGACGGTTGGAGACCACAGCAATTTAAATCATCGCGTAGCAGTAAAGCTGAAAATGTTTCACAGCGCCCTGAAGATTTTATGGATGAAGAAGATACTGGTGAATTTGGTATTGCACCTACTGGAATAAGAGCTACTGGAGATTTTAGTGACCGATCTGAGAGAGCCAAAAAACGGAAAAGAGATCAAACTGATGGTAGTCAACCTATTCCTGGAGAACCTGTGCTTAAAGAATTGTTGAAGCCAGTCACGTAAGACTATTTATTTATTTTATTTTTATTCCAATAATTTTAAAAAATATTTTTTTATAAATATTATTAATAATAATTTTTTTGAAAATTTTGTTTTATTATTAGGTACACAATGGGTGTTATTTTATTAAAAAAAATGGGCTGGAAACCAGGACAAGGTGTTGGGCCAAGATTAGCTAAAAAAGATAAAAAAAAAATTCATGAAAGAAATACTAAAAAAAAAGTTTATGGATGTACATTGCCTGGCCAGGAAATAACTCCTTACGAAAGTAATTCTGAAAGTTCTGATAATGATGAAGAAATATTATTTGCTCCTGATGACTACGAACTCTTCAGGTATTATATTATTTAAAAATAATAAACTAAACTAGCAACCTTGCTAGTGACTGCCGTGACTTGTGAACTATAAATAAATGAAATTTTGCATTATTAAATAATGACTTTTGTTAAATTGCACTGTCCTTTTTTAACTATTGACATTTTTAAAAATATAAGCTCATCCCGATGTTATACTCATCAAAAGCTTTCATTTGAGTACCCACATGCATTTTCATATATTTTTCATATATACATATATATATATATAAATATATGAAAAATTGATGTGGGTACTCAAATGAAAGGTCTCGATGAGTGTAACATCGGGATGAGCTTATATCTTTAAAAATCCCAATAGTTCACAAGATACAAGGTAATTTCTTAGTTACGTTAAATTGCACTGTACTTTCTTAACTATTGATATTTTTAAAGATATAAGCTCATCCCGATGTTATACTCATCAAGAGCTTTCATTTGAGTACCCACATGCATTTTTGATATATTTTTTATATATATAATATATATAAATATATAAAATATATGAAAAATTAATTTTGAGATAGAGCATTTTCGAGTGAAGCCTAAATACTTATCATAATAAATTTATCTTCCCTTAATTAAATAAAAAAATAATAATAATAATAATTTTTGTGTTGAATAAAAACTTTAGATTGAAAATTACTGATATATTTTTAATTTTTACAGATGTAATCCTAAAGAAAATTATTTTGGTATTGGATACAGTGGCTTAGAGAGGCAATCTGTTCTTTCTAACAATTTCAATCTTTTTGACACAACAACATTTACAATGCAAGATAAAAACAAAAAGCTTTCAATCCGAGGACAGGCTTTTGGAGTAGGTGTTTTCGAAGCTGATGACGAAGATATTTACTCATCAACGGATATGTCTAATTACGATTTTTCCCTGGGTCCCGAGTCTAAAAAAAATCAAAGGACTAATGAGAAAAAAGATAATGCTTCTAAAGATAACTGTATAGAAGGTTTTGTTGCAGCAAAGAATTGTTTGAGTAGAAAAAAAATTTTTGATCCACCTTTATTGCCTAGGGATTATAAGCCGGTTCATAAAATAAAAAAAAAAAGCCGATTTTCGTCCATTGTACCAGATGAGCAAGATAAAGAAAAATCTTGCTTCAAACAAAAATTAAATGCTGATGAACGGTTGCAAATTTTGGATGAAAAACCGAGTAGTGAAAAAAGTGATGATCAATCTAAATTACCTACTCAGAATGAAGATTTAAAAATTCAAGGAATTGATACTAAAGAAATTAAAAAATCTAAATTATCGTGGATGGATAAATTAAATTCATCAATTTTTTTATCTGGAGGTATTGTAGGAAGCAATAAAAAATCTACAGATACTTTTGAAAATTTAGAAGCAAAGAAAATTTTGTCTAATGAAGTAAGTTCTGAAGAGATTAAAATTGATTTTAATAAAGTAGATGAAAGCTCTGCTTTTAGAAAGTCAGAAGAAGAATCTATTAATAAAATAAATAATTCTAGTAATGAAACAAAAGAGTTTGTAAGTAAATCTGTGAATAATACTTTGAGTTCAGTTCCTGAAGATCAAATGATCAAAGCTGCAAAAATGAATATGTTTGGAAAGCTAACAAGAACAATAGATGTTTGGCAACCAGCCAGTGTTGTTTGCAAACAATTAAATATACCAGAGCCTTTTGGTAAAAGTATGAAAGCTGAGCCGCAAAAACGTAAGCGATATTCTGTTTTTGAATCTTTGAATAATTATAATGAAGATAAATACCAAAAAGCTACTGATACTGCTGGAACTTTTAAAGAGCCTGTTATTATGGATAAATCTTTTGAGAAAAAAAATCTAAATTTATTGGAAGAAAATAATTTAAATTTGGACTTAAATGTTGATAAATCACAGGATAATAGTTTTAAAATTGATAATAAAAAAGACACTTTTAATTTAAATTCAACTAATTTAGCAACAACTAGTGTAAACTCATTAAAAAGTTCAAACAGGCATGAGAGCGATAAAGCGGATGAAAGTCAAGCTAGTTCATTAGTCGGTGAGCAATTAGGCAAAGTTGAGGCAAATAAAGATTTGTTTAAAGCGATATTTTTGAGTAGCAGTGATGAGTCGGAAGCTGAGGATGATCCTGAGGATGTTGATAATAATACTGTAAAGTCTTTGTTAATTGGAAAACCTGCGACTGAGTTAATAAATGTTCAAAGGAATAATTCTCCTCCTAGAGGAATTTTTGCTAAGTTGGATTTAGATGATTTGATGAAATCTAAAAAAATTGTAGAAAAAATTAATGAATCTAAAGTTAAAGAGTCAACAATAATCCCTTGTAAGGACGAAGAAATTCAAGTAATTGGTAAAGAAAGTTTATCTTCCAACACAGTTACTGAATCAGAAGACTTGCTTAATAGTTATGGCCCAGTTCTTCCACAACATCCAACAAAAGTTAAAGACACATCTGACTCTGGAGAGATACAAAAGCCGGTGTATAATAAGAAGATAGTAAGTAAGTTAGATAATGTTGAGCTTTCTTTGAAATGGGTCGAGAAAACTAAGTCTAAAAAGGCGAAGAAAGATAAGAAAAAGTCCAAGCATAAAGCAAAGGAAAAAAAACGAAAGCACCAGAAAAAAGAACGGTAGATAATAATTAATTATTTATCATTATATGTAAATAAATAAAAAAATAATAATAAAATATAATTCACTAGTTTGTGTTTCGTACATTAGTATTTATTATTTTTTAATACAACAACGTAGTAATCAGTAAATTTGTTTGTTTTATTACTTCATTTTTCAACTTTAATAAACTCGTTGAATTAGCTTGTATGAAATAATTACGTCTAATTCAATTATTGAATTAGATGTTGATTGCCAAGTGATTGGTTTGTGTTTTTATTGTATATAAAAATTCTTATTTCGTGAAAGCTTTTAAGATGTTGTGAACTAATTACAATGCAATTACTTTTTTATGGAGTCTTTTTTTAATTAAAATTAGTAATCGAGAAAGGCCGAGAATACTTTATTTTTATTTAATTATACATTGAGCCTTGCATCTAACATACATTTTTTCTTAAGTTGGCTTTGATACTGATAAAGTGGACGAATTTTGATGGTAAACTAATAATTTTATTTTTTTTTTTTTTTTAATT